GGCGATAGGAATCACCCTTTAACACGTCCTGCAGGATGTGTAAAATGAAATGGCCAGCAACGCCCTGATGGGCCAAGCAGTTTCTGCTTAAACATTGCATCTTCTTCGAAGATTTTTCTGTAAGATCTTTTAGCACAGAATTCAGCTCTATGCTAGCAAATTCTCTGTAGTTGCCGAAGAGGCACAGTTTTTAAAACATTCAAGCAACTCGTCTGCGACGAAAATTTGCTCCACTGTTCTTAATTTTTTTACAATCATCCCGTCTTGGTTGCCATTTGCCGAGGAGCAGAGTGATTTAGAATAAATGTTGCGAGCAGTGTGAGCTAGCAAGTAGATCCGCTGATATATCTTCTGATCTTCCTTATTTCTATTACTAAACAGCGAAATGATTTTTGACTTTTTCACAGATGTTAAGCCATTTTGTTTCAGTGTAATATCGATTGAACGAGGAGAACCTTTTGAAATTTATGAGCTAGGGCTTTGATGAGTTCGATGTTAATGCCATCAGCGCTGAAAGCTTTTCCATCATTTATATGACAGTTTGCAAATCTTCGCTCTTCTACTAGTACTGAGAGAGCGAATTGATGTGAGGTAGCAAAAGACTTGCAGCTGCACGTCGCACAAAGGAGGTGAAACAGCTGCTGCTGTTGAATCTGGCTTAATTCACTGGTATCGTGTGTGTGTGTGTGTGGATTTTGCAACTTTTCAAAAATATACTGATAGATTCCTTCAGGAGCAATATTGTATAATGGGCGAAAAAGTAGAACTAACACATAACTGGAGTGCGGACCACTGGGACTGGCCGCTACAACATAACGATGACGTGGTTCGAGTAAACAACACCAAAGATAAGTTCGAAGTGGCCTTGGATGCGTCATTCTTCACACCCAAGGAAATTGAGGCCAGTATTTCGTGCTGTTGCAATTAGCCAGATTACTTGTAAAATGAAACCAGTGTTTTTCCTTGCTACAGATCATCCTTACTAAATGTTAGTAAACAAGTAAATCATTATTCGATAATAATTATCCCAAGAAAACCATAAGGCGCAAATCCCATACTGCTTCGCACACGAAGCAGTACAGTATCTGCGCCTTACGGTTTTCTTCAGCATCAAAAATTTGCGTTTTAGTTCAAAAAGTTTTTCCGACATATGCTAGAGTTATATTTTTATGCGTTTTTTTGCAGCAATGCAATGCAGAAAACGCATAGTGACGAGGGGTTGTCTCTGTGTGTGTCTGTGTGTTCGTTTGTACTGATTTTTCATCTCGAGATCTACGAAAGCTACGGGGCTAAAATTTTGGAGACTTAATCTATATGCATTTACGGGCCTCCATCTCCGGAAAGGTCGCTCTTACCCGCGTTGTACCCACGTACGAGCCCGCCAAAGTTTTTATGGGTAAGCTGCTAACTCGGTACCAGAAATGCTGGGAGGCTGAATTTTTAAGAGATCGTTCCCCGTCCGAGTAGATATTAATGTGCTCAAACCCAGCCCCCGGGTAAGCGTGGCACCCACGTACGAGCCCGTCAAAATTTTCTTCAGGTAAGTCACTAACTAGGGGATCTGAGAAGCTAGAAGGCTGAAATCTTAAAGGAATGTTCCCCGTCCAAGTGAGTATTAATGAGCTCAAACCCTGCCTGCGAGTAAGCGTGATACCTAGTTTGCGGGTCCATGAAACGTTTTTTCGGGTAGGTTGCTAACTCGGGAACCTGAGAAGCTAGAAAACTGTAATTTTGAAGGAAACATCCTGACAGTCCTGGGGGCCAGTCTGAAATTCTTTTAGCTAGAAGCATCTGCCGGAAAAAACAGTGCTGTTGGCGACAAGAACCTGCGGGGAGCTATGCCAAAAACGCATTTTGGCCAAGCATCTTTAATTTGTCAAAATTCGACAATTGGTTTCTCTCGTCAGCGGTGGCGGTATGCGAAACCAATTTCATTTGTTAAAATACAAATGATTTGAAGCTCTCTTTTCTCCTCCAGTCTCCTGACATGGATAATTAGAGTTTATATCCCTATAATTTCCATATCACTTACTAGAATCTGTAAAAGCCTTCACGAACTTTGCCTACGTACGTGGTCTGACGTTGAGATCGATTCCAAAAGTAGTGAAACTGTTGAAAAAGAGAGCCGTCGACAGCCTATGTGTGGTTGCTGTTGGCGTTTGCTGCAGCGCAGGTTACGTCTCAGTGTTTTTGCTCCTCAAAAGGAGTGAGTCATTTCTGGGGTTTTGATTTAGATTTCCACTTCTCCGGAACCTTCTTTAAATATACAACATTTTTAACCAGAGCATAAATGGCTTTGTACTGGATTGTATTTCAGCATTCTTTGAAGAACTTTTGATTAGCGACTGTATGTGGATATTTTTAGGTGAAAGTTGCCGGTGAGTGCCTGGTCATTCATCTTAGGCATGAATCACGTAC